CAAAACGACCCTAAACCCTGAACCCCCGTAAACCAAAACGACAAAACATCCCATGAATAAAAGCGGTTCTGTATCCCCCTTCAATGTGGTAGTAGTCGTCGTCGTCGTCGTCGTAGTAGTAGTAGTAGACTACCTACCGCTACCGCTACTCCGGCTGCTACTGCCGCTGGCTATGCAGCTGAGGTGCTCCTGCGCCACCAGCCGCCAGCCCTTGAGATTCTTCAGAATCAAATCTTCCATTCGAAGAATCTGCTTCCTTCAGTCTTGCTGGTCGCCCACGGAGCTTCAAAAGAGAGAAGAGCTGCATTGACTCTGTAAGGCAAGCCACGTTTGCCAGTGCGTCTGTTTTTCATATGCTCCCCAAGCAAGGTTCGCAAATTTGTGGGCACTCTCCTCAGGTATCGTATCCACTCCAACAGAAGCTTTTCCAGCAAGAAGAACCACGAAAGTGCACTGAAGGTGATGGCACCAGCTCGAAAAAATCGCAGAAGCTAGCACATAGTTCTGCAGACACCTCACACAAACGTCTGCCAGTGCGAGACGAAGCCGCAAAGAGAGGCATATGGGAAACATCTTCTCCATCCAGTTGCAGGTTTTCAAGACGAATGAAATAGTGCTTCATGTCCTCAGCTACCGATCGCAGAGTCAGATACAATGGGTGACTCCACTCCATGCCTCTATGCGCTTCTGTCTCTGCACTCTGCACGAGGTGCTTGGACCTATGCAGTCACCTCGTTAGTTTAGCTGCAAAGCTGAGAGCCTGCCAATGGATGAAGCCTTCGTAAATCACGAGGCTCTGCATATGCTATCAAGCGCCTTCCATGCACTCTCCACCCGCAATGCAAATATGCTTGTGTTGTTATAACCGTTAACCGAACTGCAGGCACGTCTCGTGTAGGTCGACATCCGGCAGGCGGATGGCCTCTAGGGCCAGGGTCAGCTCGGCAATCTTGAGCTATGCAAAGCCATGCCATGCTGCAAGGCTTCAGGTGTCTTGAGAGAGCCCCTTGAAGAGAGACCGCCTCTGTGCCATGTCTTGGAAGTTCCGGCCGTCCTTCTCCTGGATAAAACCTGCACCCGTTAGAGCCGAGGGCCGGGTTAGAGCCGCGGCTCTGTGCTGAAACCGCAAAAACACCCTGAAGATGAAAAGCTTCTAAGTTCCTCAACAGGGCTAGAGCGACCCCAGTGTCGTACATACACTGGCTAGTGGGAGGCTAGGGCAAAAGCAAACCAAGGGCCGCCAAAGCGACTCGGAGTCTTTGCCCAAGTGCAGGGCCAGTGTTGCCACCTGACTCGTGAGATCTCATGGACTTTTTGGGGGCGGTCGTATCAGGAGCAGGGGCCCAAAAGACGAGAGCCTGCCTTCGGGTGCATGAGCAAGTTCAAGTCTGAGCCTGCATCTGTGCGCCGTGGGAAGAAAGAATTGTCAATCGCCTCCGTGTAGCACCGAAGCCCTGTAAAGCTGCGCGACGGCTGCGAAAGATCCTCCAGAGGCTCCTTGCTGGTAGCCACAGCCCCAAAGGTAAAGATAAAGGTGACCTTGCTCTCAGACCTGTTGCCAGAGACCTCGACGTCTTGGTAAAGCTCATCTCGAAGCTTCCGGGAGCGTAGCTGCAGTGCTGTCAGACTGCAGCTCCCAGTGGTGCCGCACTCGTCGTCCACTCCCAGCTCTTCCAGATCGGTACCAAAGCATATCGCCAAAGCCACGACAAACAAGCGGAGCATTGCACTTTGGCACCCCCGCTAGAGCGCTTTTAGCACGGCCATAGGGGCTTGGGCAATCCGAGCCTGAACTGCGCGAAGTCATTCAGGCAGAGGGAGAAACTGCAGACAAGCGAGAACGGGCAGTTAGGAACGCTGCACAGAATGCATGGACTCCTTTTTGGGGATCTTTCTCCGCTTGGAGAATATTGGAGGTGCGTCGATGTCTTAGGCCAACTCTGCAGAGGGATATGTGGCAGCGGTATGCAAGCACAGAGTGAATGGAACTACTGCCACGGCAAGTAGGAAGGCGTCACCTTCCAGGCAGGACGTCGGCAATAAAGTTCAAAATCAAGCTCACGACGAGCGAACATTGTTCTTGACTCTCGAGGATGGCCTGAGACAAGGAGCAAGGCAAAATCGGTGTGTTGATGGACATAACATACTCACAGACCTTTGCCAAGAAGCCAGCAACAACAACATTTGGCTAGTGCATCGAGCAATTCCATTGAAGACCCTCTGCAAGCAGAGTCGCTACCAATGCAGTCCTTTTGCTGCTGCGCACTTTTCCAGCACACCTCCCTTTCACGTCCTGCAGCTTCTCCGTATACTGGAAGAGCAAGAAGAGCAACTAGCAAACTCCTACGTGACCAGTGTGTGAACCCGCTTCTCACTCGTCTGGCTCGGGCTCTTCGGTAAGAGCCGGACGAGCTCCGTCTGCCAAGGCAGATTTTTCACTGTGCTCGAAGAATTTAAGAGCCTTCCTGGCTGCTTCTCGAACTTCTTCAGACATGTCGTCCTCCAGGGCTTGCACCTCCTCCTTGAAACAGGCACCACGATGTCCCATCCGCGCAAGTGCTTCGCAAGCTGCCACCTGCACAGCTGCAGAACTTCCCTGGTAGGTCATGCGGCAAACATCTGGAGCAAACATTTGTCCGATCTCACCACACTTGGCCACAGCACGAATGGCTTCAGCCTGCACATTCCAGGCCCGGTCCCCGAACAAAGCCACAAAGGTCTCCACGTGGGCGTGGGCCTCATCTCCCATCATGCCAAGCCCTTGGACTGCTCGAGCTCGCACAGTGGGGTGGGGATGCTCCATGAGCTCCGACACCGCCCTAGCAGTCGAGTTGTTGGCCTCTCCTGTCGCAGCGGCGATCTCGCCAACAGCCAGACAGGCAGCAGCTGCTACTGGTGGTGCCTCATCCCGAAGCATATCTGAAATGTGGTACTCGTATCGTGCGCTTGCCGCCGGCATTCTGCTCAGCGCGTGCAAGGCTGCCACTCGTACTTCCCAGTCTTTGGCATTCAGGCACTCGACTAGTCTTGCTGCAGAAGTGGCGCCAGCACTGCCCATGTTGGCGAGAGCTGCAGCTGCAGCACAAGCTGGCTTGCGAAGCAAAGCAACCAACTTAGGCGACACACCCGCCACGGTCAAGGGCAATGTCGAAGAGTCCTCGCCATCATTGCGGAGTGCTTGCTCTAAGGCCGGGATCTGAGATGCTGCGCTTTCTCCGATGCCGCCCAGAGCAGCTGCAGCGGCCGCTACCACTCCAGGGCTGGGATCCGAGAGAAGCTTGCCAGCCGGCCCTGCTAGGTCTGCCACCTTGCCGCCAAGTCTACAAGCATAATCGGCAGCTCCCAGCCGGACGTAGCTGTCTGAGTCCGACAGGAGCGGCACAATCTCAGCGGAGAAGCTCTCGGCCCCAGTCATGCTCTTCACTGCATTGACAGCAGCGGATCGAACACGAGCGTCGGAGTGCTTCAGCAGCTTGCCGACATCTTGTAGGTGGGAATCCATCTCTGCTAAGCTCATGCAAGCGGCAAAGACTACGTCTGTGTCAGAGCTCGAAAGCTTCGAGCTGACAGCATCTGCAAAGTTGGCAGCCCGCATTTTTCCGAGTGCAGAACAGGCATCGACAACAAGGTCAAGGTCTTGATTGCCCAAGAAGGGTTGGACTGACTGGGCGTGAGAGGCTGCAAGTGGTCCCATCGAGCCCAGCGCTAACAAGGCGGCCCTCTTGACCTCCTTGGCGCGACTCTGCTCAAGCTTCGTGGCCACAAGAGGTGCATAGTCAACCGCTCTGCCATGCAACTGACTCAAGGCCACTAGGGCATGCTCTTGGACGGAGGAATCGGAGTCACTCAGCATGGGAACCAAGGATTGCTCAATGTCTCTTTTCGACATCCGCTTGCTCATTCTGCCAAGCTCGCGTAGCGCTCCACATCTCGAGTCTGCCCTCTCGCTCTTCAAGTTCCTGGACACCAGGTCCAGGGGTGTCTCATGGTTCTGAATCGCCACGCTTGCCATGGCGCACTGGTTCTAGGAAGCATCGAGAACCTGGCCCTTTTCGAAGAGCTGCGGGCACAGGCATGTGTTCCGCCAAGTGCCATCATGTGCTATGCATGTGGAGCACCTAGTGCGCACTCTCGGCAGATCAAGCTGAGTGCAGGCCTGCCTGGAAGTGCACGAGAAAGCTTCCCGGCCAAGTCGCTTCTCTAAGGCCGTGCTATCTGCCTACTGGATACGTGCGGGGGGGGAATTGATTGCAAGGCTGCATGGGATTGGTCGGCTCGTGCAAATGAGGAAGCCAGTCAATCGGACGAATCAAATGAGCTCGAGCAGTCCAGTGCCATGACAGCGTCGAGCCATGCCAGTTAAGGCCTGCAACCTGACTCATGATGTCTCTGGCGCAAACTTCACGACACTTTGCGAAGGTCGGTGCACCTTCTCTTCGACGTGCTTGCACTTTGGCACGTCTCCACATGCTTCTGATAGAAGCGGTCAAGAGGATAGCCGGCCGGCCAGATTATACCGCACATACTTTAATCCGGGCTGTTTACAGCACACTGCTCCGTCGAATGTAAACGCCCGTTGCTACGTTCAAAAGGTTTAGGGGCACGCGAAAGATGCGCTGACCTTGCAGTCACTTCAAATGCAACTTCCTCAAGGCTCGCGGATCAAGAAATGAACACTACCTGCCCAAGAGTGGGTTGTTTTGTAAGATTTCCTCCTTCGCCTGCAATGAGAGTTCAAAATTTGGCTGTAGAGCTCTGGGACTGGAAGCCTGGAAGGTACCAGGGCTCAGCTGTTTGTGCGACGCAGCACGCAGCGCTACGCAGCGCTCAGGATCATGCACTCCTTAGCTCTGCTTCGGGCCCCGCTAGGAACCCCCTGGGGAGTTTGCATCAGAAGGGCGAGAGACCATGCAAAGAGACCTCTGCAGACGAGCTTCAGCAGTGGGCGTCTTGCATTCGTGCTGCCAAAGTTTGTCCTTCCCGAACGGTCGCACGCCCACACAGCTGCCAACGTGGCCTCAGCACGGAAGACTTATTTTTGGTGGTTTGGCCCACTCAGACACATCCCTTAATGTTGCTGTGGCTTCGGCGAATCCAGTCAGCAGAGACTGCAAAGCCAGCAAAGGGATCAAGCCGATTGAGGTCACGTCTGGACCTGGCACCGTCACCCATTGCACTCGTCGAAGCGTAGACTAACCCGAAGTCTGAACTCCCTGCGGAAGGGGAGCCCAGGCCCACGGACATGTCGATCGGAGCCATGTCCATTCGAGCGAACCTGCCGCCGAAGGCCAGAAGCGCCTCCTGCACAGTCACTTCGGGCCGAGGCGCGTGCTCGGAGAAAAGAGCCCTGCCTCCCGGAGGATCGTTGCAATGGCTTCGAAGCGTGGCGAGCCCACTCCGCTGACGGCGTCCCAACCTCCGACCAACACCTACAGTAAATTCATGTCATGGCCTAAGCAAGCTCAGCGAGGCATCAATGATGCCATGTTAGCTGCATTTCTCTTCGAGAACCAAAACCCAGCTTGCGCCGCTGCATACTGTTCAGAAGCTACAGTACTGGTACTGTTACCCGCCGCTTCGCGCAGCCGTCATCCACAAACGTATGTGTGGAAATGCCTGGCCATGCCTGGCGACTAGGGTCCCTATGGCGTCGGTCCAATCTCTACTCTACATATGTCTAGTGATGTACGGCCCCAGAAACCTCCCAGCCTCGCACGGCGCTGAAGCCCACGTCGCAGCAGACAGATCTTGAGCAGCGATTGTCACCAATCTGCACGTCATTGAAAGCGCTTGGATGCTTGGAGAAGATCTGGTAGATAAGCGGATTGAGAAATCCCAAAGGAGGCAGCCTGTTGCTGAGACGGTCTTCGTTCCAGCGCGCGACCATGGCAGCAATGAGTGGAGTCGAGGCTGAAGTGCCGGAAGTTGGCTGCAGGTCGTCGCCCATAAGGACTAAGTAGTTGCTGGAGATAGCCGCCAAATCTGGATAAGCACGGCCAGAGCGGTTGAAAATCAAGACGTCTTGGTCTGGAGGTGGGACATCCTGCTGCTGGAGGTAGTGCTCCACAGCTCCGTGCTGATACCAGGGACGCGGGAAATCCGAAGAGAAGCCCCCTCCAGATGTAATGCCTCCACCCTTGTCCGATGTGCAGACCACCTCGCCATCCTCGGGGCATTGCACCATCACCTTAGGTGACGTATAGCTACAGACCGGGACGTTTTCTTGCGCAAGCTGTGTGCCACCAACCGAAGTAACCCACGGAGATGATGAGGGGAATTCTTCACGGTTCCTGCCACAGTACTTCTTGCCGTATTTGGCCACGAAGCTCCCACTGACACCGTCATCACCGCTGGCCACAAGAATCGTGATGCCCCGTAAGGCCAGCTTCATGAACTCTGCGTTGATACGCTGCTTGAACCAGGCGGGCATAGTCAGCGCATCGTCACTGTATGACACAGAGTGAACTAGGGGGATATGGTCATCGCTAGTGTCCTCCAGCTGCATGAGCCAATCCAGAAACGGCTCCTGTCTTGTGGCGAGCTCGATAGATGGAACGCTCCAGAAGAATGCTGACACATTCGAAGCCAAGGCAGTTATGTACTGAATATCAAGCTGCGCCTCTCCCCCCAGAACAGAACCGGCCATGGGTAAGTTTTCACCTATGAGACGGAGCTTTTCCTTCGTGCTCCAACCACGCACACCCATTAGCTTGAAGAAGGATTCCAGGTCTTCTGGGTTGTAGTATTGTCCGAGGAACTCGGCAACGGAAATCGTGTTTCGTGGATGTCGAACAGGTTCGTGCATGGGAATCCCATAGTTCCGGGACAGCAGGGCAGGTGTCGTGTAGGCCATGGGCCAGACCGGAAAGACCTCGTCCGCCTTACTGAAATCCGACACCGACCCATCACTGAACAAAGAGCGAATCCTTACTGTGGTACTCGCATAGTTGGCCACGCTTCCGAGAGTAGCGTTGAACTCCACACAATGCCGTCCATTCTCTGTAGTTCCGACCTTCTGGCCAATGACATCGGGAACTGCAGGGAGTCGCACCACCTTTTGCGTGTTGGTTTGCAGTTGCAGCACAATGATGTCGAAGGCAGTGATTAGAACTGAATGCGGGCTGCTGTTGCAGATCCCATCCTCAATGCTGTCCTGGTTAACAAACTGATCTTTGCAGTACACCACGAAATGTATGCCAACGAACTGGTCACCAGAGATCAAAAAGGGGCGCACCCTCGGTGCTGTTCGGCCTGACTGCGGGTACTTGAAGGCAGTCTCCTTGGGCTGTGCGGGATGCGGTGGCATAAACAGGGGCGCATTGAGCGATGTGCCTTCCAGGGCATGCTGCAAATCTAGTGGCAAGCGGATTGGCTCAGACGCTCGGATGGGTGTAGTACCGGGTGCCACCCTGCCGGTCTGTATTCTCAGGCTGGTGTTGAATACCTGTTCAATACAGGCTATTGTGCACGTGAACCGCGCAAAGTCTCCACCATAGGAGAAATGCAGAGAGCTGTCTGGCACTGTGCCGAAGAAGTTCTTAACAAGGTCCACATCATATTTCCAAGGTCCAGCTATGCCATAGATTTCATCCCGCTCCAGGTATCGACCGTATTCCCGGTTTCCCGGGTCAGAAACGGCTTTCGCTCTGTTCTCCAGCAAGTCGAGGTTTCGCTGCCGCAATGCCAGGAGCACGATGATGCCTAGTGCGTGGCATATTCTGTCCACAATTGTTCGGGTCTGTCATAATACGTGTGAGCTTGCAACTTACGCCCAGACACTCTTGCAAAAAAAGAAAAGGAAAGGAAGGAGCCATGTGGGCCATGTCTCTGTTCTGCTCACCGGGCCGAGCTCCGTGCTGCCATCCGGGTTGAGAGAAGCCCGCCCATCTATCATCAGTGCGGTCAGAAGCAGCCGAAACCTGACATCAAGTTTCGAGAGCCTCTTTCAAAGTGGACGGTCCTTCCTACACTGCTGGGGATCTGCGGCCATGGTGCCAAGCAAACAGCCACGACCAGAGTTCGCGTAGCCATGCTCGGCAAACAGTCGTGCAGCACCATGTCAAATGTCTGCTACTTGCTTGTGCAGAGGTAGCATCATGTTCGTTGAATCTACGGCTTGACCGTTGTATCACCACTTTCTTTACTTATGCCTGCCTCGCTTGCATGTGTCTCACACATTCCCATGCAAGCATGGGCCTTCAAAGCTTCTGCCAAAGGCTGCAACCAGAGACACGGAGTTCGAACGCAGCGAAACACAGATGTGCGGTTCTGCACCTTTCCCTACGCCTACGCCCGCCGCCCGCCCCACTTTGGCACGAATTCGTGCAGCTGTTCTATCAGTCACCGACTGCCTACGTTTCCGCTTGGCGGAGGCTTACTCACGTTGCCTTCAGCACGAGTAAGCTGAGAGTCTGTTTGATGGACACCAGCAGCATATATGTTAGATAGGATGGGAGGGGTGTAGTGGCAGTGGGTGGCGTATGTTGTCTTCGGCAGCATAATGCGGTCTGCTTCAACTGCTATCTGGTCACGGAGGATCGCCCAGTTTGACTGGGTCGAACCTCGTGCAGCTTCACATTTCTGAGATGCTCCCTGGGCCACCCTTCTCTTCCCAGGAGAACTTGACCTTCTCTCGCAAAGCTGACATCAAAGCAAAAGAAGATAGTCGTCATCTGCCAGTGGTCTTACACAGTGTTCAGAACCAGTATGCCCGGCCTGCGATGTGCGCAGCGGTCGGCAATAGCTTGCAGGCGCAGTTTGAGGCTTGAAGTGGGACTGGTATGTAGTCCTAGCTCGGCACCCATGGTGTGCCATGGCTGCCATGGTGCATACATCACTCTCGGCTCCTGAATGCCGACTTCGTGCCCTGCGCTGAAGCTCCCAAATGATCCTGGAAGATGGCAAAGGAGAGGTCTGCTATGCCTGCCTTCTAGGTTTATTATTAAAGTGCCAATAGTACAACGGTGTCGCACCATGTTCACCGACGTGAGTGCACCCGTCCTTTATCACTGGGCGCGATGTGGTCTCGAGCAAGTCCAGCGGAAGCTTCCCGTGACTGCTGTGTGCTAGCGAACTGGCACGGGTCAGGAAATTAAATTTGGCTCCGCATTAACAGGTCCATGAAACTGCGGAGCCTCGTCTCTGAGCTCCTTGTAGAACCAAAGCCGACAGAGTCCTCCGCCCTGAACAGGACAGTAACCAAAAGGACTAGTGCAAGCGTCGGCAGGGGTAGGTCCTCCTGTCCGCTGCAGGTGTGCATGGCGGCTGGCGCCTAGCGCATCAAGACTGCAAACGCCCACCACTGAAAAACGCTGTCAGCTGCCATGTACCGGTTAGACATAATAAACTCTTGCACGAGAATCGGGTCTCTGACGCATGGCGCTGCTCATGACGGGTGAACGGCCCAAAGGCCTCTGCCATATTCCAGGAGTGCTTCATGCAACGAAATTCACCTGTGTCACAACATGTAAGAAGAGGCTGCAGGTCATCGGCCTCCGTGTAGGAGCTCTTGGCACCTGGAATGGCTGCAAGCCGCTGCGAGGACCTAGTGATGCCGTGAGCACATGTGAGAACGCCGGAAGAAGGGCAAAACTGCTGCAACTGTTGCCCATGTGAAGCGCAAGGTGTAAATGGCCTGTTCGCTTCGCGGAAAGACTCGGCCAACTGACGGTCAATGCCTCTTGGAACATGCAGAGAGGCTGGACGTAGCAGTAATTGACTGCGAAGGGCAGCAGTTCTGGGCTGGACACCGGCACCAAGCAGGGGCATTTCGCGGAAGTTGGAGGTGTACTCGCACATCCTTCGCTGAGCCCTCATCACCAAAGGCAACAAGTGACAAGTGCAATCGGCATCAGGTGCGAAGACCCAGGTGAATCTTCTCCAAGAATCGAATATGGTAAATGCACGAACCTATGCTATGCCGCCATGCAACTCCCTTCCAAATGCAAGGAAGGCACAGGTCGGCAACTTTCAGCGGAACTCCTGCATGTATGGTACCTGCCACCGTGGAAATTGCAGAGAGGCTCCTTGGATGACTGCCTATCTCGCGATAGAGCACGCTTTTCGCCGAGATGAAGAATCTGGCCGAGACCCTGGCTGCCTCAGAGCTCTCAGAAAGCTGAGCTGTCTCTGTCAACCTCTGAACCCCTTGGCCGCCAACTGTACTTCAAGCAACTGCGTGGCACTGGATGCCGGAGGCCAGCGAAAGACTCCTGACCTGGGAGGGTTGTTTGGGTGTAGCTCGGTGAGATCTCAGGATCGTCTGCGTTCTCAGTTCAGGAGCTTGCAGTTGCCGGCCACCCTCTATTGTCGCCAAGAAGTGTGCAGGCACGGAAGGACGGATGTGGGACAAACCCCAATCAAAAACTGCTCGGCTCGTTCCGACAAGCCAGGACATGTTCAGAAAGCTCGCTTCTTCGTCCTGGTTGGCTGTTTTGGCATCTGAAGCATCGTCATGAATTAAAGCTAACATGCTGGGTGGCAGGAGGTGGTGTGGAACTTCTGCTGACTGAGCACAGGCTTTGTGGGCTGCATAGCTGAGCTAGGCAAAACTTTGCCTCAACATGCATGGCACTCCTCGTCCTCTTGCCTCTTGCTCTCCAGCATGTCAAAAAAGTTCAGCTCTAGGGGGCAGGGCCGGCGACGACATAGGCTGATCCTCGTTATACTGTACAGGTGTTACCGACTCTTGCGTCAAGTGCGACGGTTTCGTGTTTAACTTCCGCCTCTGCAACCGGTTCCGTTCCACTCTAGCCCACCGACACAGCAACCTGCACACGTGGTCCCCCGCTTTTTGTCGAGCTAACTCCTGCTTGTGAGCGTTCTGCAGGGGCTGAAGGCAGACGAGGACCAAGGGTGCTGAAAGGTACGTCAGGTCTCGATTGAAATAAATCGTTCTGCCACAAGATACTCAAGCGTCGCATTAGTTTCTATCGCCATGTTGTATGCAGATGTGTGATGTGTATCAAGGCCAAACCTGACCAGGCACGCCCAAAGACTTGCATGCAATCGCAGAAAGGGTATGCACGCTACAGTAGACGTCATCGAAACGCCAACGTCATCGAAGTCTTGCCATGGGTGCACCGCATTTGGCAGAAGCTGAGGTCAGGGCTGGTGCTGCGCAGGAAAAGCTGACGGTCTTTCGCGGGCAAAGCTTGCACCTAGATGCTGGTGCTTCGATTGCAAGTGCTTGAAGCTCGCATGACGCTCCACTGCAGAACTTATCAGGCGGGCCTTGGGGCGATGATGAGTGGTTGCATGGGTGGATGGAGGCGCGTGTGATTAGTGGTGGGGGTTCTCCGTGTGTGTACGTGTGTCGCTCTCTGTGTGTTTGACTCCCCTTGCACTCGTGCACAACCCTGCTACAACCGGACCGTGCAGAAATCGTTGAGCGGGGCAATATATGCATGCATTCGTGGATGAGGGTGGAGGCGGTTGTCGACCAACTGAGGCGCGAGCGGCTGCTGCTGGGGCGATGCCAGTTGAGGTATTCTTGAAAGACGGACGGACCATTGCTGGACGAGTGAGCTAAGACATCCGTGGATTGCTTGGGGGAGCTTTGCTCGGCAGTGATGCCCCCGAAGGGAAACTGCAAGTGCCCTTCGGTAACTTCTGCCGCGGCCGCGCTTCGTTTCCACTCCGAGAGGTTCTAAAACTTAGGCCTAAATCTTGAATGTAGCTTGACATCCCAACGAGAGGTAGAAAGATCCTTCAACAACTCGGCCCGCACCACTGAAACTTCGGTTTTGGCTCGGACATGCAACTCTCGCACCTTAATCTTCTGCGGGTGCTGTCATGCGCGTGCTACACCCGAAGTCAAGAAAGTCGAACCACCGATATGCAAGTGACGTGATGAGTTCAGCACGAAAACACAGATCTCGGATTACATCTTTTGTCTCTCTCGCTGTGAGGAGTCCTGTCAACCCTTGCATCGGTATCACGTCTCGTGCGCCTGCTGTGCCAGCAGACACCGATGTCAAGGTGTGAGCAATTTACGTGTCAACTCCTCACAAGCTTCGCTGTGCGAGGATGCTGCCCTGTGCCGGAGAGATTGCCATCGGCCATTGTCTAGCCTCCAGCCCAAATCCGGGTGCGTAGAACCGCCTGTTGGGCAGTGAATTCGATCATGCACTGCCCGGCTCGCCACTGCTGGATTCGCTGTCTCGCAAATCTTACCGGTGAGTTTGAGAGTTAGGTTTGTGCAAGCCTCTACTCTTCGTGCAGCGAATCTGCAGTCGCCTGGCCTCTAAAACAGCTTCCCAAAAAGTAGCTAAGCGTCTCGCTTGGCGCGAGGAGATGGCAATTGCAGCAGATCTTCACACAGATATCACAGTGCCGGCCGTCTGCTCAATGGATTTGTCCACACTTGCATCCACCTGACCAGCGCTTTTTCGGATCCCTTTCCGGTATGGCGCGACGGCTAGATAGATGAGGGTGCCGGCCGTCTGCTCAAGGGCTTCTGCAGCGCCGTCCTGGCGAGATCTACGGCCAGGGCTGATACTGCATCAGGGGGTACAAACTTGAGTGCCTGTGCTTTGCTCGCCTCTCGGGCCGCCCGCTTCGCCTCACCAGGTCACTTGAGCCGATTCTTCAGAGACCCCCAACTTATGGTTGGTTCAGGCATCGAGGCCACGAGCCTTTGCAAGGAAATGGACTCCCAAGTACGGGGTTTGAAAAGGTGGAGCTCCAGTCCAAAAAGCATCTGTAAAGACAACTCATGGGTCGGGTCTCGGTATTTCGGCGGCCAACGCCCTCGAGGATTTGGGATACGACAACATTCGATGTGAAGGGGTTGCGCCGCAGTAGAACACACTTGGCAGAACCCCCGTTCCTAGGTGCCTCCTCTCGTTCCTGTTGCTTCTTCATGCGTGCTTCCTTCTTGTCTTTCATCTTCTCGTCCCTGGCGATCGGCAGTCTGCCAACTATTTCTGTCGTTTCCCCCTGCCCTGCCTTACGCGCTTCAAGTCCTTGGGATAGCTCCAGTGGAGCAAGCTGTATGCACACCTAAGCCGATCCAGCCGAGCCATGCGGACCATGCCATACAGCTCTGAAGCGCTCTTGCATCGAAGCTAAGGCCGTCTGCCAGCAAATCATCCAGGGAGTGAAGCAGGTAAGAGTCAAGGCCTGGCCCAATGACAGCGAAGCTTCTGAGCAACAGAGATGCCTGGGCATAGTTCCGCCTTGCCCAGTGCGCGACGACTCTCCGGATCGGAAACGGCCTCCTTGTGGTCCTCATCAAGCCTCGTCGCCCCAAACGATGGGACAATGGCGCCGTGCCACTGTAACTGTAGGTGATCAGCGCCATACAAACCAGCAGTAGACCGCCAGATTGCAATAGAGGAAGTAAGGGCAGCACTTGTATCCAAACACATTCTGGGCCAAGAAGCCAACCTCGAAAGCATCATGCCACGACCATGTAAAAAAAATCTAGGCTTTTCAGCAAGCTGCCATAGCATTGCCGAGGATTGCCGCGAATGTGCTCTCCAGAGCAGATTCCCAGGCAAGGATCGTGGACCTCCCTTCGGGACGCACCTTGTGGACAGAGAGAATGAGACTGCTGGGTGGTTGTGTGTTGAAAAAGCTCCCCGCAATCTCTGTCAAAATGGGCAGATTCACCCCGACACCACCTCAGATCCGGCCACTTTCGCGAAATTCCTTGAGGATCTCCGGGCATCGCACGGCTCCAATTTGACGATTGTAGAATTACAAGCGACATGGCACAGGCACTTCTATGGCATCTATCTGTGTAGGGAATACATACATGCATACGTGCAAGCATAGTTATGTACACACCGACATAACAGGTTGCATGTTGCTTAGAGTCACCTTGTTCTGTCACAGTCCTCTCTATGTAAGGGCACACATACATGCGTGACATATTGATATGGACTGTCAGACAGACTGACAGACAGACAGACAGATAGGTAGATAGATCAGATAGAATAGATAGATCGATAGATCGACAGATAGATCGATAGATAGATCGATAGATAGATCGATAGATAGATCGATAGATAGATCGATAGATGGATCGATAGACCGATCGATAGATAACCACGTCTGCATACACATATCAAGGCATGCATGCATGCATGCATGCATGCATACATACACACCTAGATACCTAGATACATGTCTAAATTCCTGCACGGATAGGCGTACGTGTTTCCACACGCCCGTAACATAACATGGCATGGCAGAAGCTCACAGAGCAACCAGAGCATAAACTCTATGACTACGTGTTAAGTACACGAGAACGAGAGAGAGAGAGAGAGAGAGAGAGAAAGAGAGAGAGAGAGAGGGAGAGCGGGAGCGGGACGGAGGGACGGACGGAGGGACGGA